TCTATAAGTGCTTCATCTGGACTGATTGCTCTGCTATCTACAGGATCCAAGTAGACAAAAAAAACCCACAGCAATTTATTTCTGTGAGAGGGTTCAACTGCCATACAGAAGTTTAAGGGTGGAATAGGAATACTTTTTTTTTTTTAAGTGTGACTGCTTGAGGGTATTGGGGGGAGGGTTTGAATCCAAAATGACTGAATTATATTTACTTTGGTATCTTTACATGGTATTGTTCAATAATTGAATTAATAAATTTTTTTACCTATCAACAAAAGGAAATGGTGAGCAGTTACCAAACATAACCTTTCTGAAGCACTGCATAGGTGTGATGGTACTACAGACTATTAGACAAGTACACCGTAAGGGTCTGCTACACAGCAACACAAACGGTTGTACTTAAAACCTGTAACAGAATTCCCCTGTAAGTTTGGTGACTGGTGTAAGAGCCAAACTCACTGGTCACAAAAAGTGACAATCTACCATTTATCCTTGTAACTTGAAAAGTTTTAATAAAAAGGAGGCTTTTTTGTCATTTAATTCCTTGTATTTCCATTCTTAATTTAAAAAAAAAATGGGTATTTTCATGGGCAAGCAGTGTGTGTAGGTTTGTCAACTCTTTCTGCTTCCAGAGGAGAGGAGTCTTCTACAAGTCAGCATATGTATTGTTTTCATTGGAAGTACTCCTCATTTTTAAGTAACTTGGAGTCAGGACAAAACCTAGTGTCTCCTAGAAAAATACTGCTGAAGTGGTTTCAATGTACTTTTTTTTTTTCATTCATCTCTAAAGTTGTAAATTAAAAAAAAAAAAACCAAAACAAACCACCAACCTGCCAGTTTTCCTGGCACAGCTTAACAAAAATGCTTTAGCTGGCTTTTTATAATGGGTTTATCAGACAATCCTTTTGCTTTTTTTCATGCTATCATCAGTGAAGCAGCTGTTATGTTAAATGCTAAACTCTACTACTATTAATGGAATCGTATTGTAGAAGTTACAGATTTTGCCATTGCAGACTTGGAACCCTAAACAGGGAAGAAAGAGAAAGCTTAATCAGATTTAACATAACAATTACTTTGCTAATCTTTACATAAATACAAATCTTAATGAAGTAAAATATGGTAAAATGAAGATTCTGAAATGCAGGAGACAGTGTATCTGGCTTCCCTTACAGTATGCTGAGTTTGTAACATCTCTGTTTCTGACAAATGCAACCAGGACAGTCTCACAAAACTGTTACCTAATTACCCAGTGCCTGCTGACTATTACAATACTTCTCTCTTCGGCATCCTTTGGGATTGGGGTTAGATGAGCGTCTTCAATCTCAACTCTCCGCTGTATAATTTACTTTTACTTTGCTTCCCAGTAAAGGTAATACTATGCATGTGCTTACATCATGAAAATTCCAGTGGTTTTGGTGCACTTTAGAGCTGCCACTGAAATTACTTTTCTGATCAGTCATTTAACATTCTTCAAATTAACTTGATTGTTTTCCCTCGAAATATGTGGGTTTTTCTTTATTGCTTCCACCTGCTTATTTACTATTGAAAGGAGCCTTTCCATGTTGCTTGCATAATTTTACTTTCCTTGGCCAATCACTTATTATAAAGGATATAATTTGTATGTATTTTAGTCTAAGTATTTAGCACATGTAAAACAAATTTCGGTCAAACTTCTGTAAATGGTCAAGAATCAAACATAAGGCCAAGCTGACCGCTCTGTAAACAACAGGACTTGAATGTTGCTGTTTTGCTGGTCAGTGGTGATTTGCTCAGCTCCTGCCAAAAGTACACAGTACTTAAATTCAGACAGGTGAACAGACAGTGCTAATATATTCATTTTACTTGTCAGCGTTGGTAGGGATAAGACTGACCTATCGGACGTTTTAGAAAGTGGCAGGCATATTTTCCAGGAAGTCTGCTGTCTAGAGAAAAGTGTTTTGAAGCAGCACTTTCTTCTGCTATTACTGTCAGTTCGATGAGACTTTTATTAACGGCTTTTCATCCTACCTTAGTTTTTTGGTATTGACAGTTGCTGATGCCTGGAGCATAGTGTATGTCAGCATTTTTCTGGAGGGAGAACTTCGCAGCACTGACGGCCTGAAACAAAAGTGGGTGGGTGAGTCGGTTGGGTTGTTTCCTCCAGAAACCCTAGTCTTTTCAGTGGACTTCTTCACAGAAAAGCACTGGGGGGTGTTTGTTGTTGTTGTTTTGGATTTTTGTTTGCTTTTGAGGTTGGTTGGTTGTTTTTTCCCTTGCAATCCCCCCTACAAGTTGCATGCAGTTTCTTCAGTATAATGCTGAAGGTTAGCCTAAAGCTAGGCTACCGCTTGGCATCCCATTGCCCTCAGAGCATTAGGCAAGCTGACTTTTAAGCTTTTGCTCTAAGTGAGGAACGATGCCATCTCATTTTCAATTAAAAAAAAAAGGTTGGGAACTAACATTTTTAATATGTTGTTGGATTCCATGTATCTGAGAAGGCAAAGAAAGAACATTAAATTGTACCTCCAGAGGTAAGAAAAGGAACTAGTCTGCTACTGGGAAAATAATTATACTGTTAAAATAATAAAGGTATTAACTGTATAATGGTCAAAGCCTTTGTGCTGCCCATGAAGCAGATTTTGAAATACTTAAATAGCTGATTTTCACAGCTAATACTGCAAAGTTAGGGGACGTGGCCCAGAGCAGTGAAAGTAATACTGGGGAGGTGAGAAGTGCTTTGGTGGCGGTCTCCACCTCAGCTAGCTGTGCCTGACCAGCCCAGTGTCATTTTGGAGAGGCTGGTGACGGAGGTGCCGTGGGATTTCAGTGAACTGTCAGGGGGACATTGATGTTGTGCTTATTTCAGGCCAAAATGTTATATAGGACTGATGTCTGCCTTAGGAGACTAACTTCTAGAAGTACCTTCTCCGAGATGCACAGCCAGACCAGACCAGACCTTGGCTCCCCAACTGTACCTGCTCCTCTGGCCCAAGGTCATGGTCCCTTGCCCAACCTGGCTACAGCTGAAGATCAGTGTTTCCCTGTGGAACGACACATATCCATTTTCAGCATAAACCATTGCTGTTTCAAAATCAGTCTCACTATTAGTAACAGGTCTCTAAGTATAAAATTAGATGCACAAAATGCTTTTATTGTGTCCAAGCAGAAGTCAAAGTCAGACTGCATTTCTGGATATACAGCAGCTAAGTTCATTTACACATACCATAGCTCATTGGATTAAATACAGGAGAAGACAACTCAAGTATTGGTATCTGTTCACGTGGCCCCCTGAATGCCGCACGCTCTTCAGATATCCTGGCGTTAAGGGGACTAGAATACAAGGGTCCCACAAATACTGTATATAGCTGTACCCCCTAGGAAGTATGTGCCCAAAGTACGTGATTCAATACGGGTGAGAAATACTTACTGAAATCATAGGTGCGTTTTACAAAGCAAACTCATGGTAAAATATGACGTGGTTCTTGAGATGGTCAAATTAATATGTAAGTGCTTACCTATCAACTCCTGTAGAGGGATGAAATGCTCACAAAAAACCCTACCTGTTTAAAACGTGTCTTAAAAATACTATGCATTTACTTATGCCCGATTCCAGAACAAGTTAAAGCAATAAGACCTTCCACCAAAGTACGCACCTGATTTTTTCTGGTATTTTTCAGCAGCTATGTATTATATATAAGTATCTATATCCTTAAAAGCTCATGAATATTGAAATTTGCAATACCTATTGTCTACAAGCAGGCAGAAGTAGAGGCAGGTTTCTACAGATGCAAACCCCAATATTTTATCATGGATTTTCTGGTTTAAGGTTTACGTAGAATTAGAATTTTGCAAACAGCCATTGTTTTTATTAACCTGACGTGCGTGTTTGGATTTTCTAACTGTGCTCTTCTGGCTTGTACTCAGAAATACTTCCCAGGAGCGCTCCACAGCTGAAATAATTGTATACTTAGGAGTTGAGCTATCTAATTTCTAACTAATTCTCTGTCTTACATCCTTTATTCAACTACAAACGGAATCTAAAGCATATATTCAGCATAAAAAAGAAAAGGGAAAATTTGAGCTTGCCCCTTCTATCTGTTAACCTGAAGAAACTTTATAGTTGAGGTTTCCCAAATGTGGATTTATTAAAACCTTAAGTTGTATCTGGCTTTTCTTCATTGAAAAAATAGATCTGTACATCCTCCTTTAATTACCAAGTACCTGAAGGTTATAAATTATTTTTTGCTTTACAAGTGTTTTTCACAGCACAAGCATGAGGTGCTAAGAGTAAAGTAAAAATTAATGAATTCAGTCGAAGGTAAGAAAATACAAGATTATTCTTGGTTAGAAGAGAGATCAACTGTGCTTTTAAATTTCACTGCAGATTAGTAGGAACAGCACGCATCTTGAAGGATCCAGTGACAGTAGACACCGAGCAGCAAGCTGCTGAATGATTCTCATGACCGGATATTAACTCAGGGCTGTACTTCTGTACAGAGCACTTTTTAAACCATGCAGTCCAGGTAATTCATGCATTGCATTATGATCTGTAGTCCTTCTTGGTGTAGGGCTTATTTCCCAGAATATTATCTATTTCGTTTACAATATGGGATGTCATCTTTGGAAGGACCTAGGGGTAGAAGAAAACTGATGTTTAATCAAGCTTCCATTAAAGGTTTTTCCAAATTTAAATCTAGATTTTATCAAATAATGTTTCCTCTGTTTTTTCTGTGTGACAGATATTTAAACAGTCATCTGATACCTTTCTCCCTTAAAGAAAAAACTACTGTAGTATCTTTACCTTGTGAGAGAATCACAGAAGTGCTCCTAAAATTTTATATGCACAATATTACTCGGCTGCAGTGGAAAGCGAGCTGGTGGCAAGAACATCAGAGGAAACTTTTATTGTGAGAAGCAACAGAGAATAATTAAGGTGGGTGCAAGTGACACGTGCCCTGTGGAAGACTTGGTGCAGAATATATCACAACATGTCCTGGAGTCAGGGCACTTGCTTTTTCAGCTACCTTAAACCTGCTGATGCCACCCTCTTGTTGCTGGATACGGCTATAACTACCACAAATGGTGGTAAGTCATGGTGACGCACCGTAGGTTTGCCTAATTAACATGTGTAACTAGAACAGGAAGATGCCTGAAACAAAATACGAAGTATTAGAACTCTATTAAGAGAACAAGGGCACTAGTCTCAAGGTATGCTGGTGTTACCCCCAAAGGGAGCTGGGCAGTAGCTAACCCCCCCACCTCTGTTGAGGTGCCACCACCACCTGCACTTGCCTGTATGGCTCCAAGATTCTCTATCAGCTGCTCTGGGTTGGAAGATCCTAGAAGAACAGAGCTCACCCCCTCGTTTCTCAGGCACCATGCTGGGAATAAAGTCATAAGAGGGTCAGGAACATGAGCTTCACAACACGGCATTACTCCAGATCCTAATGTTTGTCAGAGCTTCTATCTCTATTTGAAAAATAATGACAACATTATTTGTCTCAACCTTCACTCCTCAACCGGTACTAGCAGGAGGAAGATGCACAGATCAGATAACAAACCACATAGCAGATCTTCCAGCATCCCGTCTGACCCTGGTCCCTGGGCCAGCAGTGGTCATAATTGTGGGGTTTGGTTTTTCCCTATCACAAATCACAGGGATTCACCTCTTGGCTATTTGAACCAGGGATCATTTTTCTAACAGGTGTGTGGTATTTTTCAGCCTTGGCTCTCAGCAGCACAAAGATAATTACTAAAAAAAAAACCCAAACCTTTCTTTTTAAAAAGTAGCACTCTCTTGTGTCCGTCATCCCAGCACACCGAACAATTGATGGCTTCCACCTGGTGAGGGACTGTTCAGAGAACCAGGCAGGTTGGGGTTGGACCCCTGATGATGGCCCAAGATACACTAGCCCTCTTGTCAATCAATGCCTGATGATAATGCTGGAAACAATCTTATTTTAAGTAATTTTTAACTTTACTGCTCAAAAAAACCCCCAACCCACATTATTTTTGTGTGAGGATAACGGAGCAGGGGTTACATCAAAAGCAATACATGGTATTTTAATGTCCTACAGTGGGTTTTAGAAGAGAGTAGAATAGAATATTTCAGTTGTAAAGGACCTACAACAATCAACTAGTCCAACTGCCTGATCACTTCAGGGCTGACCAAAAGTTAAAGCATATTTTATTTTGTTTTGTTCTTTTACTGTGTTCCTTGAAATGCGTTAGCCTTCTCCTAGTGAGGTGTTGCATTGCCCAGCTTCAGTGTTTCTAGCATTTTGTTCCATAACTCCTGATAGTAAACAATCATTTAAAAGTTTTAAATAAAAAAATAGATCTACAGATACAGGCAAAGACAAAGCCATCCTTTGTCCTATTTGAAAGACGACACGTCTTTTCCTGTGTTACCGTTTACCTAACCATCACTGGTACTTCAACAAATGATGGCAGCACTAACAGTACCTGTCGCTTTAGGGGCTGGTACAAGATTTCACCTGCACTCGTCTCAACAACCCATAAGGCACAAACATTCTGTCTGCGCCCGAGAGTCTTGCCCTTCGCACTACGAGGATGTGAGCTAGGTGATGCACTTGTGACAGCAGCAAAGGACAAAGGCACAGGGACCCTCCTCTCCCATCCCATCACCTACCGACGGCCAGCTGAGGCAGCGTGCACCCGAGGCGCTCGGCGATGGGCGACAGGTCTTTCAGCTTCACCTGCTGCTTTCTGCCTTCCTCGCTTATGATTTTCTCTTTCAGCCACTGGTAACACTGGAGGTGAATTACATTGCAATCGACTGTTAGCTTTAATCTTCCAAAATGGAAAGTTTAAGGCAATTATAAACAGCTCTTAAAAAGTCACATCCAACCCAGGAGGTAACTGAGGCTGAATAACACAATGCTTTGCTACCCGAAGCAATTACAACAGGACCAGGATGTCTCCTGTGCGAGCCTGTGTCTGTATCTCTCTGGCTTTATGCAACTGATGGAATCGGTCTGGAACCTGGAACTTCCTCAGTTTTATTTTTGGACAACTGGATCCCACCACAGAGTGGAAAAAAGTGAAATATTAGTCAACTTGAGAAGATTTTGACACCCCACTCCCCCCCCCAAAAATTGAGAACATCTGATCTTGTTCAAGCTTTACTATTACTGGTTAGGATTAGAAAATTAATTAAACGAAGCTGAGATTTCAGTTCTCCCAACTCCAGACTTGAAACTTGATTCTGCTTCACTCCCATCAATTTAATTTGGATCCCTCTCTGCAATGCTACCTTCTTAGCTAGCTTTTACCAAATATTAATAATATCTTTTATTTTGGAAAAAAAAATCACAAATGCAATGAAATACCACGTTTGAAAATGCTGCCCTTTGTAAGCAAGTCAGTGTAGACTGTGTCTTTCCTTTAAAAAGCACCAAGCTGAGCAAAAACCAGCACAGGGACGTACATCAGTCTGCTGGCACTTGTCACTGCTGGCATTGGCTTTTGCCCATCAGCTGACACAGAGCCTCAAATACCGTTTTGGTTGTTTTTTTTTCCCAAATCCGTGACATTTTAATGCTCTGCTGTTTTTCAAACCATTAAATAATATGCCTGCCACAGGCACAAGATGGGAGGAGACCCCATAACACCCCACAAAAGTAAAATCAGGATAACTGTGGGAGAAACCAAGTGCTGTGGTGACACTGCAACACTAAACCTGTCAGAGAGGGCTGCTGCCCTGCCCGGCAAAGGGCAGGACCACCGAGCACCCACAGGTTTCACGGGGCGCTGGGGGTCTGCCCTGCCTGCGGGGCTCCCTGGAGGGATGCTGTGGGGCTGAGCTCCCCCGCCATGCACTTGCTGCCTGGTAGGCTGGTGCCCAGGGTAGGGTGGGCAGAAAAATAACGTCCAAGTTTGGTTTACCCACTGTGTGTGGCTAATAGGTTTTGAAGTCACAGCAGCTGTATCAATTAACATTAGCTGGGAGCATCAAGCACAACAGAAACCCTGGTCTTGTGCCTTCTCGTTGATGATGTCCGGGCAATGTAAGGGTGGCCATGCATCCTTCTGCAGAGCCCCCACAGAGCCTGGCTCCAGTCGCATGCTGCCCCACAACCAGCTCACAGCCATCAGCTCACTGCAGTGGGGAACCTGAAGCATCTTTATAACCCAGATTCTCCTGCACTTTGGAGTGTGGTTGCCAGAGGAGCTGATCTATCAATACAGCAGCACACAGGCCAGCCTTCTCATGAGGGATGTGTTTTCCCTTTTTTTCCTGCACTCACAGAAACAGCACATCTACTTTTCTCAAACATGCAACAATAAAATACCTTTAGTGCAGCCCTTGAGCTTTCAGGGACCCCATTGCCATATTTCCCTGAGATGATCCCACAGGCTAGTGGAGACCATGTCATTGCTCCAACCCCTGCAGAGAAAGAGATTTTAGGGTACTGGAGAAATCAGAGTTGTATCAAAAAATAAGACTTTTAGTTAAAAAAAACAAAAAAGCAAAACAATTGCTGCTTGTTCCTATTGCCGCTGTCAGTGATGTTCAGTCAGTGTCTTCTGGGAAGATGCTGCTGATGCTCTTAAGGAAGACGCTGACTAGCTTATTCATCCAAAACCTTATTGTGAGAGCCTCCAGCCCTGTCCTGGCTCCTGCTGCAGCAAAGTACCTGAACTCCTGCTTCTCAGCCCAGGCATCTCCTACGCCATGCTGCCTTGAGTCTCAAAGAGTAAGAAGCAGCCATGGCAATTAGCACCTCTTTCTACCAGAGGCACGGTAAACCAGTTTTTCTTTTAGGTCATTAGATAGATACTTGTCTGTCTCGTTCAGATCCAGGGGAGGAGAGCACTGTTCCCATCTAAAGCCCCATGTCAGCATGCTCTGTATTTCCTTCTGCAAATGAAATAGCCAAAAGGCCCAGCAGTCTCGGTCTTACCTATTTTATGATATAATTCCGGCAGCTGAACCTCCACTTTCTCTCTTTGGAAAAGGTGGTATTCAGCTTGTTCACACACGGGTGGTATCATGTTAAACTGCCTGGCTACGGAGTAGGCTTCCTGGAGAAAAGAAACCAATAGATAAAATACTTCATTAAGTAAAAGCATCTTGCGGGACATAACCTACCAGCCAACACTCCTTGAGTGTGCAGGTGCCAACGAACTCAAGTTTCGCTATTCCTTAGCAAGGCCATGCACATCCCCGTGAACGCCGCTGTGCAGAGGCAGAAACACAGCCCCATCCCTGCCTGTGCTGCTTCCCCACTGCCCCTGCACCCGCCACACCAGGGCACGTACCCGCCTTCTGCCTCCTCCAGCCGAAAGCTGCCTTCAGTGCCAGCGCAGCGACAAGCCAAACAACTTCCCAGCTGGGGTGGTTGGTGCCGAGCTTGTTTATCGTGTTTTGACCCCACTGCAAAAAGCAGGGACCAGCAGGATGCTGCTGGCATCTCTTAGAATCACAGAATGGTTTGGGTTGGAAGGGACCTTTCAAGGTCACCTAGTCAAACCCCCCTGCAATGAGCAGGGACATCTTCAGCTAAATCAGGTTGCTCAGGGCCCCGTCCAACCTGACCTTGAATGTTTCCAGGGATGGGGCATCTACCACCTCTCCAGGCAACAACAAATGCTTCTGACAAGGCATTAAGGATGAGCTGTCAGGACGCTGGTTCCCCCAGTCTGGGTTTTTTCAGGTAAAGCCCGTTACAAGGTCCCTGCGGCCGAGCAGGGATATTTCCCATCTGCACCTCTGCACATGACACGTGCAGAGCAGTGCCACCCACGGGGGCTTCTCCCCTGCACGGGGACCATTTCCACCACAGCAGCAGCTCTGACGGTCCCGTGGGTCATGGAGCTGCTGCCGGGAGCCACGTCTTCAATGGGGCATCAGTGGCCATGGGCACGGACATCAAACAGGCGCTTTTACCAGAAGTCTTGAAGTCAGCCAAATAAAACCAAAGTGAAACAAACCCCAATTAAATGAGCCAAGACACCCAAACTCCCAAACAACTATATCAGTCCATCTTCTCCTAATTAACATTGGGCTCATTCCAGAACAGGTTTTAAAATTAGTTTAGGTGAAAAGATGCTGGGTGGAGTAAAACGCAAACATCCCCAGCCCAGACACATTTGTGGTTCAGCTCTCAGTGTGGCTTTCAGCAGACTTTGCAGCCTGGAAGTGGAATTACCAAGTGTCAATGCTTTCCCAAAAACCGACTTTACCATGATCTCCATAGCGCTCCAGCGCGACGTTCCCCAGTACATCGCCATACCTTGATTTATTACATGTGTCATCGCTCGGACAATTTCTAAAGGAGGGAAAAAAGAAGTATGAGAACTGCGCAGAAGCCAATTTTTCAGCACCAAATCCTCCCAAAGCCACGTATAAATGCCAAGTACACTGACAAGCCTGAGCAGCTTTGCATTAAACACTACTTCTGTTGTGTTCTCTTGCTCGAGCATGGATGAAAAAGCATTGACAATGCGAATGTAAAGAATTTTATCCTGCAGTTGTTTAAAGACTGCTTTTACCAACTGGCTATTACCTACCACTGCCTTATGATAATAATACTTTTAAAATTTAACACAAGAGGGCAGCACAGTCAAGAAATACACTAAAAAATTAAATTTATTTTTAAATTTGTTTACTAAAAGCATATATTAGGTCCTGCTTCTTTTTAGTAGGAATATTAGGTTGCTGGGGATAAAATTACAAAACTGGATAACTGAACCCTGGTCCGCCAAGGGCTCCGCCACCCACGGGAGGAGCAGGCGGCACCTCTGCAACACCCGGCGCAGCTCCTTAGCACAGCAGTCCCATGGTCCTTGTTTTCTTTTGGGAAGATAGAAGCCTGCAAGGCTACATGCGCAAGGTCAGGATCTTTAATTTCCATCCATCAGACCTTTGCTGAGCAGCCCTGCCTTCTGCGGCGGGGGGAGAAAACCCATCATAAACTTTAGCTTGCAAGAAAAGGAGAAAAAAATTGTCTATCCCTCACAGTTCCCGGGGGTTACAGAGCCTGGTAGGATGCCTTGCTAATGCTGTAAGGAAAATAGCCCCTGCTTACTGTTTGCAGCTCATTTTTAAGCTTGATTTCTCCCTGGGAGCAGCCTGCTGGGTACACGGCATTGTAGGGGGCCCAGGCAGTGCCCATCGCATTGCTGCTGCAAGAGGAGCCGGGGACTGAGAGGGGTCCCCAGGACTGAGCGGGGTCCCCGGGTGGGAGGGTCTGGGGACTGGCGGGGTCTGCAGGCCTGGGGACACAGTCCTCACAAGCAACCATAAGAGCATATATAATTGCCCCGGCTGCCATAATAAATTCATATTTCTTATTGAGCTTCAGCACTCCCTGCCTTTTGGAGCCAAGCAGCGGCTGCCAGGGCACTGGCACTATGCTGGCCGCTAACAGCACAGCAGGACAAAAATGGGCTAAACTCACTCTGAGAAGCAAAAGAAAATAGTACTTAGTCACCACGCTCAGTGCCACACGAGGGATCTCACAGTCAGTGGGTCCTGCTGTATCTCAGTGCGCTCTTCCCTTGGGAAAGCAGCAAGGACCCAATAGTCCACATCTACACCATGAATTTCTGACCCATCAAACTACGGTGAAACAACTCCAGTTGGACGCAGGGCTACACGGAAAAGCCCTGTGTGTTCGTTACATCCCTTGGCGTGTCTGCTGTTACTTGGACAATGACTCTGGGCATCGCTGTCTCAAGATCAAGATGAGCTGCCTTTTATATCATGAGGATTCTCGTCCTATTTATAGAAAGAAAAAAAAAGGAGCTTGGCAGAGGGGAGATTACACTGCCAATCTTGATGTTATTGTGAGATTTTTTCTGCAGGCAGCGACAAGCAGCTAAAGATGATGAAGTCTCCATTTATAACCTCAGAGGGCTGTACAAGAGACACAATGCCTCTTGTGCTGGGCTTCTGCCTTCCCACTGAAAAAGGAGATTTCCTCTCCAGGGAAACGTTGGCTTGAGGAGTTTTTCCCCCGATGAAGAGTAGAGTTCAAATGCCAGATATTGTTTTCTTTTTTTTTTCTTCTTCTTTGTTTTGGCCAAAGCCATACTTTACTCTATTTCTAAACATTTTATTCTCTGGCATGTACTAGTCCAACAAAACACCCTGTTATCAAGCAGCTTCCCTGCTACCCGCAGGCGTGCTGTGTGTGACGGGCAGCTATATGGCAATCCCTCCCTCCTCAGCAGCGCCGGGTTCTCACTGGGTTTAGTTTTCTATTTTTGCCATGCTACCATTTAGGAATTTAGATAAGCATTTCATCATATGCCTCTTACACATTTTGGTCCATAGTTGTTTTCATTTCTCCCACATCTACTCCTTTCAAGGAAAACTGAAATCAACTCAGAAAAGATATCTATATATCTATATATCTTCCTGTTTACCAGAGGCTGCTCCCATGGGTATGGCGATGGGATGGTTTGTGAAGAGCACGTGCCTGGATCGCTCAGTCTGCCAGCTGGATGGCAGAAATGACATCACTTAAGGAGGGGAGATTTTTTTAAACATAAATGAATGTTTCAAAACCTGGAAAAGAGCCTCCAGCAGCACAATAATAATTTTGAAGTAGCTTAAAGTTCCCTGATAGGAACCATGTCACCTTCCCCCCCTGCTTGCCAGGGCTGGGGCTGCCCGTGCAGCGGGCACCCCATGCCCCAGCACAGTGACAACGGGGGGTCTCACCAGGGGACCCTCCTTCCCCGCAGCCAGAGCTGCCCTGCTCGTCTGCTGGAAAAGCCGCTCGGGATGAAAAAAAGCATCTGCTAGCACAGCTGGGGGATCAGATCTCCAGCCTGACTAATGAGACATGAAACTTGCAGAAATTCAGGAGAGAAGCACAGATCCTTCCCATCACCCATCTCCCGAGGTCCCCATTCGGGGGGACTGTGTGATGGCAGAGCCGCACGGGCACCAGGGCCAGGACTGCCCTATGGATGGCCAACCCCAGCGAGGATGGCCCCTCGTCCTGCCTACCCCAGCAAAGCCGAGACCGGGTCAGGGGTGAGGAGTGACACAGCTGTCCTGGCCAGGGACCTGCCGGACCTGACTGCACCGTTATGCAAAGAGCTTTTCACGGGGTACTCATCTCCAGTTGTTCCTTGAAGCTAATATTGCATTGCTTTTATGATGAAAAGCTTTTTTAATTTGCTCTGAGACTTTTAAGAAAGGTAAATATATTCCAGATTTTTAGATTAAGCAAGCTTTGCCTGCCACTCTGGGGACTAGAGCCACCTACAATAAAGAAATCTGTATTAAATTCTCATCTCTTCTTACTAGATCTCCTTTACACACGCCTCCTAAGGCAGCCTGAGCTGGGACATGACCAGCCTGGGCAAGCGGGAAGCGATTCTGCTCTGGCTGGGGTGGACCAGATGAGTATTTCTAAGTTGCTGATCCATTGCCTGCTGATGCCCACAGACACACACATCACAGCAGACGGATGTGCTAACAGAGAAAGCTCACCTGCCTGCATGCAGCAAGTGAAGAAAACAAAACGAGCATTCAAAGTTTGTCCTTTGATTTATTTGGTTGTACCTTACAGCATAAAACCACACTGTCTGCTCGAGCAGGACCCTCACATGTTGGCATGAGTAGCACAAGCAGGGAACGTTTTAAGGTTACCTACAAATCGCTTTCCATCAGAAGCAACTATTTGCTCATGGGAAAAGCATAAGCATGTAAGGAGATGGAGCAGGGATTGTACGTCTTGTGGAGGTAGCTCAGCACTTTTTGTGCATGCCAGATAGTGCAGAACTGACAGATGGTTCAACAGATGCTCTGGGATAGAAGTGGCTTAGTAGGTGAACCATAAAAAACCATGAAGTACATAGAAAGAATCAACACCACACCATTCATAATAAAAATGTCCCTTTTTTCACCCTGCTCAAAATCTCACCAAGCACCACAGTTTATATATTATCGCCAAGCTCCAGCGCTGCTAGCAGTATCTGTAGCATCTTAAAAGCTGTAAATGCCTGAGATCAGCTGTGCTGCACGGGCATGGGAAATATATTCTGCACTGCCTCATTAGATGACAGCTGACTGAGCAGAGAGGTCATTTCTCCCTCCAAGATACAACATGTCATGTTGCTAGACCTCGTCAGCTACTACAAAAATCTGCACTGGTCTTAAAATCCCAGGCCGGTTCCCTGAACCCATAGCTGCTGGCACTGGACAGCAGGGGCAGCAGTACTGCCATCCACCCGCGGTTCGTGCCGGGTCGCACTGCCCCGCATTTGTTAAGAAAATAGGCATCACGACTGCTGAAAGTCAAGCCAGGAGCTTCGGAGGGGCCTGTCAAGCTCCAGGTTTGTTTGATTTCCATGTACCCATCCATGACAGCTTCTGCAGCCTGCAAGTCTTTCTTCTTGCTATTTTTTATTTAGCTGTGAAGCTAATCTTCTGCTACAGTGTGAATGGTTGTGTTAACTCCGATGGGAAAAGAGAAGGAATGGGAACTGGTGCCCATTAAATAGAGCACTGACCCCAAAATGTATTGATGAAGGTTCCTGGATAACTGGGCTATACGGCCATGTACCAAACATGAACATATAGTTATCAGCAATGAAACATAATTAAAGCACATAGATATTCACAAGTCTTGCGAGTTCCTAAATTCGTTCCCCCCTCACTGCATTTAACAAGAACCATTCCCCACCAGGACCAAGGGGCAGGCAGCTGCAGCACCAAGGCTAAGCTCCGCCATGGGCAGAGCATTGCCGCTCTCCATGCTCGGAGGGACCCTGCTGTGCCCCAGGGGACCGTGTCCTTGCACGGCCCCTAGGCTAAGCCCACTAGAGATGCTACATCTCAGCTTGTGCCACTCATGCACTTGGGACAATGAACCCTAAGTTTGCCAATTATTTCTTGTTTCTGACCACATATTGGATTGCATCCCTGGTTTTAGTGCTGGGAGAAGCATGCGCTATCTGAGCAACCCAGGGGACGTGGACAAGGATGGGGATGGCAGCGCTGGCATGCTCCCCTCTCCAGAGCTGACTGCACCAGGGGTAGGGATATACCTAGGTATATAAACCTATATACCTATAGGTTTCATTTGACACTACTTCAAATGCAAACACAAATTCACTTTATCTGAAGGAATCAGAAAAAGGAAATAAAGAAACAAACAACGTTAAAGCCACCACTGGGACATAAAGGAAACTTCAATTTCCTTTCAAGAGATACAAATTCATTTCATTGAAGCATAAATATATAGGGCTCCAGGATATCACGAATGAAGTATTTCATATTTAAGATGCCCCACCTGAATATTTAATAAAAAAATGTTTTTCATTTCCTACCATCATCAGTCTAAGCCTGTAAGCCACAATCAGTCACGTTAAAACCTTTAATTCAAGCGTCCACTAACCTTCCATGGGGGTATTATTGTCTGGCCGGTTTGCGAAGACGACATCCACGTACTCCAGCTGCAGCCTCTGGAGAGAAGCCTTTAGCCCTGGAAACAGCAGAGCAGAGTCAAGAACCTGCACGGTCAGAGCGAGGCAGGAGTGCAGTGGCACAGAGCTGACAGGTACAAAACCATATCAGGAAAAATAGAGCTCATTATATTTATATACATATCTACTATATATAAAACCATATAGCACGAGAAGGATACTGCATAATGTTGTTCCACATCTATGCGGCCATATTAAGAAAACACCAGTTTGGTCTTATGCAGAGTTCCTCCCCTTCCACAAGAATTTGTTTTATTTTTTAATTAGGCTGCAACTTGGATTGAACAGACACCAGTTACCAAGTGTGTCCATGGCCAGCCCGTCAGGAGGCAGCTGCCAGGGACTGACTTCAGCGCTCCGCTTCTGTTCAGAGTTAATTTAATCTAAATCACATCACAGAGCCTTTCTGTGCAAGCCCAGGGCATGTCGCATTGGTCCTGTCCCACCTAACGAAGTCCTGCCCAAGGGGGGCCTTCCAGAAATGCAAGCCCAGATGGGGGGATGGTGGCACTCAGTTAGATATGCTATGATGAGCAGATAAAGCACCACGGAGGGCTGTATCTCTGCAGGGTAAGCAAGCTGTGCTCACCAATGCATTGTGTAGGGCAGAAAGAGTTTTGCAGGGCAAGACAAGGCACCATTTTGCAGCTACTGTTCAGGACTGCCCAGGCTTCAACAGCTTCTCCATGAGGATCCGATGGGAAATCGCATCAAAAGCCTACATATACGTATATATATATATATATGCATGAGAGAGAAGAGGATTTCTAACACTTATTTTCTATGAATCTTCCCAGGAACAAAATGTTTTTATGAATGTTCATGAAGAATGAGCCAAAATAGAGCAGTCTGAAAATGTTCTCTGAATTTTGGGATGGAAAAAGTGGCCATTTTTGCCAAATGTATTTATAGAAAATAGCTAACATTGACCTTAACATTATTTGCTATGTTTTCCGTGAAGTTAGTTCAACTGCTGCCAGTATTTTTCTATCATTTCATGAAGCAGCTCCACAAGAAATGGCAAATGGAGGGGTTTGGACCGCCTGTGACATGGCTGCAACTTCCCCAAACACCTCTGGATCTAGTGCCACCAGCAGCCAGGACAGCACCTCATGGGGGGGGGGGGTATTCAAATGAAAATTCAATAAAATGTTACAAAAAACTTTCTCCGGCATTACCTTAATATGGAAGTCATATCCTAATGTAGCTGAATTCTGCAAATACTAAATAATGAAAACTTTCCAGGACAATCCCAGACGTACAAGGGATTGAGCATACTATGAGGCAAAACCAACCGTGCTTCGGTGATGCTCCTTATCACTGAGAAATAGCTCCTTGGAGATGGAAGATGACCAAATCTACACCGCAGGGAGGAGGCTGCTCTGCTCACCCAGTTTGCTGATGACCACGTTCATCCCACCCTCACCCACTTGGGACAGTATTAGCCAGGCTGTGGTGTGGGTGGCAGTGACATCCCAGGTGAGGGGTGGATAATGTAAATATAGTAATAATATTTTCCATATAATCTATGTTTTAATGTATACAGAACAAATCCTGGTTGTTGAAATTTATGACAAATGGGCCACTGCAGATTCTGGTGATAAAACATGCAAATGGCCAAATGCAAGTTAAAGCCACCGTTTCTGGTGGGCAAACCTGATTTTTTTGCAGGTGGATGCTACCTTCTGATAAGCAAAGATCAAAGTATACCTCCTGCCTATTCTGCAGTGTGAACTTTGAACAAGCTGGTCCCCACCATGCCATCAAACTACCGACACCACGGCACACTAGTAATACAGATGAGCCTGAATTTTTCTTGTCTAATTTGTCTTGGCAGCAAACATTAGCTTAACCAACCACCACTGTAAACAATTAGGGTTTCTCATAAATCAAAGAGGAGGCTAATTACCCCAGCATACACAGTGCAATAAAGAGAATCACTTTTCATTGCTGCAGTCATTGTGGAGTGTTAGTTTATGGAGGGTTGCTGCTCCCCTGGGGTTTCAAGCCCTGGATTACCCAGGCCAGCATTGCCATTGCTCAACGAGGAGCAGCCGCTCCCCAGGGAGCAGCAGAGCCCGCTGCCCTGGGCTCCCCCAAGGGCTTTGGCACAGAGCATATAACTTCCTAGTAACCCAGAGAACACGTTTTGCACATCCGTCCGTGGCAGCAGACAGAAGTGGGTCAAACAGCAACAAGAGGCGGGCGGTGCGAATTCCTTTGCAGAGATCTGAAGCACAGGTACCAAGCCTGATGCTTGCCTTCTGTCCCAGAGGCTTCCCAGCCCCCTGGGGAGCCGGACACCCCCAATAACTCCCTTCCATGTCTTTATGCAGCTTTTCTCCAAACCCATGTTATTTTTGCTCAGGATTTATGTAGAAGACAGAGCCAGGCCCCCGTGCAGCTGGCTGCTTTTCTGGGTCTGGGACCCACTCGTGATCTGCACGAGGCAGGGCAGTCAGCCCCAGGGTCCTCCTGAGGGATTTTGGGGATTTGCTTCAGCCCCTGTCAGGAGCCAGCCCAGGCAGGGACCTCTCACTGGGACAAGGTCATGGCTGACACTGCTCATCCTTAATATGACAGAAAAGTGTCTTTTTATGGGTGCTGTTCTATTTGTATCCTGCATGTAAAGTCCTGTACAAGTTATAATTATGCCTGTGGTTGCTGTGCCCGGTTGTCTGACCCAACAGCCCTCCGGGAAGAGCCAGATCAGGTGAAACACACTTATCCATATAGAAAAATGTATGTGCTCGCACTCCCTCTCCAACAATAATGCATCCAAGAGAACAAAAAAACCAGTCGGAATGAAGATGAGGAACATGCGTTAGACGCAGCAAAGAGCTGGGTGAATACATCCTGATGGATGAGTAAGGTTGTGCACAAGGCAAGGGCATCACTCAGCAGGATGCGGGACTGGATGCAAGGAGCCGGGCGACGGAATGTACACAAAAACTGAGCACCTGAGAAGCAGCAGCACTGAGAGCAAACCACAGCCTGTCCCAGCCGGCTGCTCAGTGGGTGAGACCTGGCACCCTTCCAGCAGCTATTTCTGACAGCTGACATCATGCCCCACATCCTCATCCCTCCCTGCTCTGTCAAGGGAGCCCATGCGGCCACAGCCATGTCTGCCGACCACGCGCTGCTGCTGACTGCCCCAGCCCCTCCAGGAAAGAGCTGGGGGGTGTCAGCAGAGCAGCTCCAGACCCACTGAGCCTTCTGGCCTCCTGTCATCTCACAGCAGTTGGGATCGGGGCCATTCTTGAGGACAACGGTGCAAAGCCGCCGGGAAGCCACGCGAGGCAGTGAGCAATGAAACCCTGGCATGGCAAACCCCAATTGCTGCAGATAAGCGATAAATCTGCAAGCAACGCACACGCAGCCAGCCAAGGACATCACACTTGCTTATTATAGCAAAAAACAAAAGGTTGTTGCTGCATAGAGGTGTGGTAGAGAAGGCTTTTTGTGTGCAATGCGTTTGCTCACACTTTTTGAGAAAAGCCAGAATAATCCTTTGGTGCGTTTTGGGCCCTTCACAGCCAAGCCTGGGAACTGCCCAGCGCAGGGCTGGTGTGGAAAAGCAGTGGGGTCAAGCAGACCTGGCTCATGGGAGAGCATTCGCCCTGGGGTCCAGCTGGTTGCATCCCACCATGCCCATGCCAGGGCACTCAGGCACGGCCAGACCCCTGCCCCATGCAACACATACCTTCAATGATGTGCTTTCTCGAAAGCCCTCTTTCTGTTTCAGCTCTGCAAAGGAAAAACAGGTATACGGCTGTTAGAGATCCAAGGTGCTAACAATCAGGGAGAGCTAATTTTGTATTCTGGTTTAAACATCCCAAAAATGAAGTTACAACTTGTACAACAGAGAGACCCTGAACCTCGTTTGGGTTCCCAATATCAAAGACGGGATGAGTCTCGTCTGGGATGAGTAATACCACTGTTAATTTAACAAGGTAACAGCCCTGCTATGGATATTGCCTGACTGTAAAGCTACTGTCCGATATTTCTAAGCGGAGGGGTAAGGATGCTAGCAGGGCAGCAGGGGCTGCTGGGGCCAGGCAGTGCAGGGATGGGGCTGTGCCCTGGCCAACCACCCAGCACTGAGGCTTCATTGACATCGTCTACAATTTCGGAGCAAGGCAGCCTTCACCCTGCTGGTTACAGCTCCCGGAGCTGCAGCCCTGCTCGGGGCAGGAGCATACCCAGCACAGCACCCCAGCCTCTGCTGGGGCCTGCCACCTCTGCCAAGCTCCGACTCCTTAAAAGATTTGACAACATGAGGAGAAAGAAAATGACAGCAACAAACCTCCCCTCCAAGGTGCGTTAATCTCCACCTGATTGTATGGCTGTAAAAGGGAAAAGCATGCAGCAGCAAACACCATTATGAGTAACTGTGAGACTTACTTTCCACCCCAGTACAGTTTTGTTGTTATGACCAGACTGGACCTCCTGCAGACAGAACAGAAAAATTGTTATTGTTAAAAAAAATTATAACGTAAGTAACCAAGCAGGATGCTGCCCATCAAAAAGCAGCAGTACTCTGGCTTCCTGCAGCAGTGGCCGTGCCTTGTTTTGCAGCCCTGGGCTCAGAGCGGGTGTTCACACATCACTATAATCCTTTTTACAACAAGCCACTTCTCCTCCCATGCTCAGGTCCACTGCAGGCAGGGAGTGACCATAGGCTGGTGTCCAGAAACCGAAGCTAATTCAAGTGAAGTGACCAAAAAAAAGATCCAGTTTTAATTATGGAGTAAGCAATCTCCAGAGCCCTTAACCAAGGGCTACAGCACTACTCCCTCCCGGTATTCAAGTCCGGTGCTTCTCATTATCATGCAGTATTCCCAGAGTTATTACAACTCCAAGAGTGATACATTCACTGAATTAATCTATAAATTCCCATGTGATATTAAATCAAAGATTTATCATTCGCAAACTACCTTGCTGCATAACTCCACATGTATAACACAAAATTTCTCCAGCTTTTGCTAGACTCAATTTTTTTTTTCTTCCACAGTACCCAGAATATTTCTTACTGAATTATCATCCCCCTAACACAGGGGATACTGATTTTGGAGAGAGCACTGCTAGGACCCACTCTTCAGTTGAAGGCTGAATATGGCACACACAGGAGGTCTTTAAAGATTATGTAAATGCTCTTAAAACTACACAACATATGCTAATGTGCATCATTTAAATTAGGTATCATCTCCTACCAGGCTACCCAAGATGAAGGCCCATCACAGCTTTGCATTCTTAATGCACAGTCTTATGTACACAGATAAGGATGTCGACACACAAATAATCTTTCTCCCTACACCGTGCATGGAAAAGATGATGGATATGCTCAGAAGTTGTGTTAACTGTGCTGTGCACAGAGACAATGGTCTCACGCAAGAGTCTGAGCAGCACCGCAGGCTGATGATCGCAGCCTCATGAAGCCGGTGTGCGCTCCCAAAAAAACAGGAGAGCATTTTTATTTGGCACTTGAAAGGTCTGGCTGCCGCAGGAGCCCTGGCTGGCTGCTCTGTGCATGGCCCTCGCACCCGCAAGCTCCCGCTCCTGGGCCAGCAACACCTAACATGCATCATTTTTAAAAACCAGAAGAATTCTCATATGCCCAGGGGTCCCGCTCGTTTGCAGGTAGCAGGGAGCGCCGTCCAGCAGTACAGTACCTCCAGCCCTTCTTTTTCAGGATGTTTCCCAGGATGACCTCAGCCCTGTGCAAGAGAGAGAGCCCCACGTGAGGGGAGACAGGAGGATGCTCAGCACCAGCTATACCATCACGGCTGCCATCTACGTGGACTCCCCTGGACGATACCACCCAGACACCACCAGCCTGCAGCGCCGCTCTCAGCTGCACAGCTCTCCCCTCCCCTCCACAGGTGACGGTGACCCAGCACCAGCTGGGATGGGTCCCCTCCATCAGTACAAATCATCTTGTCCACCCACTCCTGTGGGGACAGACCTGCACCCCCATGCCCTACACCTGCTTGAACCTGCTCTGGGAAGACAGGGCCACTTAATCCCCACACCAGGGACGTGATGTCCCAGTCCACCTTTTACACTAAATACAAAGCCATATAAATCAGCCAAAGTCAAATATATTATGGATGGATATTTTTTCTCCCCCAGTCCCGCAGCAACACTAAGAGCATTAGCTCTGCTGCAGCCAGAACAGTTCCCCGTGCCGGGAGCTGCGCTTGGGAGCTGTCATTGGCACAGGCCATTCATCACCATTAAGATGCGGACTGACTTTTCATTTATTCAGGACATTTTTCTCCCTGTGCCAACGGCAAGGGAGATTGATACATTTCAGGCTTCAGCTGGGTGCAAAGGGGTTTGGTTTTGATTTTTTTTTTTCTTTTTTAAGAGTGCTCCAAAAATAAAGGTTTTTCTGTGCCCCCTCAGGGAGAAGGGGGATTCCCAAGCACCACCAGAGCCCTATCCATCGTGACTGTGACACAGAGAGGAGCAGAGCCAGGCAAGGGCCCCAGGAAAGCAGAGCAGGACGCTGGGCACTTACTTGCCAGCCGCATACACCTCGGCTGTGTCAAATAGGTTGACGCCGCTCTCATAGGCAATGGTCATCAGCTGCTCGGCCACCTTGGGGAAGCAAAGACGGAGAGATGAAGGGTGGCAGGCGGCATCCCGAGCAGCTAGCAGCTCGTCCTGCACTGCGAAAAGCCCCTGAAGGTGCAGCAAAGGGGCTTCAGCGGGGCTGGGAGGTGTGTTAGCATCCCCTGCCGGGGGGGGGCGAGACCCTTCAGCAGGGCACCCAGGGGTTCATGCCCTGGCCCAAGCAGCACCAAAACATGGATTTACATCAACTTCCCATTGACCCATCCTGGGAGGAATTAATCTCTTCTCATAGGAAAGTCCTGGGCTTTCCAATAGGAAAGCAGCCAAGAATTTAATAGGGTTAAAGCAGATACTCTGCAAATCTGTAGAGTTTAATACAGAAAGGATATTGCCATGGTAAGGTTTTAAGGGGCTACCCAACAGGCTGTTCTGCAGTTCACCAGCAGATTTCATGAGGTGTTTAAACAGCTGAAGGTCATTTCACGTGAACCCCATCAGAGCCCCAGGAGTCCCACTGCTCCCTGGGGGACATTCTGCACCCAGAGGGGGCTAGCAGCTCCAGGGGGACGGGCGCCTGGAGAGGTCACCCACACACAGCCAACATCCATTGGATGGGCATCCCCAAAGGATGGGGCTGCATTTAGGTCCTCTTTTTCCACACATGAACACTTTGCATTGACTTATTCTAAACAAGGAGGGCAGGAGAGCCCGGGAGCAAATTCATAATTGAAACAAGTTGTCTTGCTTCAGCCTGCAACGCTAAGAAACAGGAATGAACTCAACGATTTGCTGTCAGCAGAAGAAATACGACCAAAGATCAAGTGACTTAAAAAGCAAAAAAACCTTTGAATTCAGACTCCTGGGCCATTTTCCTTCTGCAAAAGTTATCTTGGGGTTTCTGCCACAGTACTAGAGGGAAGGCTGCCGGGAGGTTGCTCTCCTTTTGATGGCTAGTATCCACCGCATACCTGAGACGGAGGGAAACCCATGTGCTGCCCAGCACTAGGGAGGATTATTAACTGAGATTAAGAGCCATCTGGTATGAGCAAGAGTGCGTGGAAAACCCAAGCTCATTTTCATTTGTTTCATCTTATTATGTAAAAAATAAATCACCCGGCAGTTCCTTGTAAGCCAGGCCCCTGCCTGTATTTATGACTGCTGCTGATTACATACATGATGCAAAAATAGTTTCCAATTTCTGCTCCAGGAACAGTGCCACTGCCAATGGTAAGGACGGAAATATCGCTCCAAACAGCACGGAAAAGAAGATCGCCTTTAGGGATAGGTGGGGGGTTTATTAAATTTGATCTCTGGAAACTCATTAAGGTTTTTTGTAGCAGAAGTGCAAACTTTGTATTGCTTTGCATAGTAACTCTCTGCCGTTTCCTCATACAGAAACAGGCTCCTCTGATTTCGGTAGCCATGGTTTCATTTAAAAAATATCTCATATTGGTTTTTACTTCATGCATTATACTTACACCAAGCATTACTTACCTCATCTGAGATTTGACCTCCAAAAGTGACCCATGTCCCTAGAAGGAACAAAATAATCTGTTACTATGAGAGGTTTTTGCTGACAAAAATTCACTCTACCAAAATTCAGGCTGGCTCAGAGGCTGCTGCATCCCCAAGCGAGCAGGACCGGGGCAGGCACCAGAGCCCCCTTTCCCGGGGAGGACAGCGGGGCTGGGGGCAGGCGTGCAGACCTGACACTGGCACATGAACCCACTCAGGGAAGCGTCAGTAAGATCCTGTGCTGCCAAAATACAGTTTTATTGAAATCTGAAGCTCTTTGCAAAACTGAGTTCATTTTCCAAAACTTCAATCTGACAAATTGGAAAAATTTATGATGCTGCTGAAACATGTCATTTGGGGAATGAAACTCTTCCTAAGTTTGTGCTTCAGCATTTAGCATCATACAAGTAAAAATTAGAAAAAAAAATTAGAAGTATTGCTATTGACATGAAGTATTTAAAACCCATCCAAAGTGACTTTTCCCCAGGAACTTTTCCACAAAGCCAATGTCCGACACCAGCGCAGCCGATCAGCAGCGCTTTCACCAGCTAGCTCAAAGAGTAGCTGCTGTTTAGACTCAGCAGCAGACTCTAGTCTATTATTAGAAAAAACTTGGGGCATTATTTCTTTATGACTGCTGCTTCAAAAAAAAAAAAAATCCTGTAGTGGAAACAGTGTGTGGATTTAACCAGATATTCCTAAGCTATAGGAATATTATTTCCTTTATATATTTTTATATGTATATATATTAGGAATACATATTTTCTAAGCTACTGGAAGAAAGAGATGGCAGTGAGCTGAGGAAGCACCAGGTCCCATATGGGACACTGATCAGACAGCACGTATTCACCCTGGCAGACATTGCTCCTGCCCTACTTATCTGACCTTACAAAGCACCTCATGGAAAGCGATGCTGAGACACAAAAGAGGAGGCTGTGACATTACCTTTTGCCAGCTTGTCACGATGTCACTTTGATCTACAGCACAACTTTTCCCTGCGCTTTTCAAGACCTACACACCAGCTACATATAAAATTACATGTTACTCATTTAACGGATGGGTCAAAGCTCACGCGACTCACACAAAATCCTCCAGAATTTAAAATTCTGCCTTATATTGTCCCTCCATAGGGAGGGCAGAGGGGTTCAGGCCCTGAGCTGGAAAACTCAGTGCTATTTGGGCAAGATGGAGGAGAGATCGCCGTGCCAGGGAGGGGTCGGGCTCTAATGCTGCTAAGGGGGAAAAAAATTAAGTGCTCCCTGCCTGCCTGCCTGCACTTGCAAAGGGCCTGGTGCAATAGATACATAAGTGCTCCCACAGTTTCATTAAAAATGTATCGGTTAGCTCATTGCTCACAGCAAGCGTGGAAGATGAACCTTGAGCAGGAGTCAGAAAGCAAAGAGCGTGCCTACCACTAATGCTCAAGCTTCTTTGGTCAGTCCCTGGTTAAAAACAAAACAAGAAGAGTCGGCTCCGTTAGAATCATAGAATCGTAGAATAGTTTGGGTTGGAGGGGACCTCTAAAGGTCATCTAGTCCAACCCCCCCTGCCGTGGGCAGGGACATCTTCAACTAGATCAGGTTGCTCAGAGCCCCGTCCAACCTGACCTTGAATGTTTCCAGCGATGGGGCATCCACCGCCTCT